GTACTTATGCTGGAACGAGTTCTAGTGTACTTATGCTGGAACTCCATCATATTATGCTGGAGTTCCAGCATACTTATCCTGGAACTCCAGTATAATATGCTGGAGTTCAAGTATACTTATGCTGGAACTCCAGCATAATATACTGGCGTATTTTCCGGGTTTTGAACAGTATTTTTGCTCAGATTTATCTTTACATGAAAAGTGGCTAAATTTCGATTACTTTTGAAGCTGGGCTATTTTTGAACGACCACTTGTAAATCTGGCTATTTTTTCATTTCTCCCTAAATGTATTGATCTAAATACTAATATTCAGGTCTTAAGAATGCCTTTATGTTCACGATCTACATAAAAATTATGAAGATTCTGTTATATATAAAATAATATATATGTATTATTTATTAATAATATTTATTTTAAAATAAACAGGAAAAAGAATTCTATCTTAAATTTGAATACAACCGCTGCCTTCTGTGAAACTAACTGATGTGTTTTCTATGAGTAACTAACTCTTTGTTAACTGCTAGTTTAAATTTAAATGAAGCAACCATTGGTAAAGGTCATAAACCTTGTCTATATAAAGGGTATTCTATAGGATTCTAAAAAACTCCCAAGCAATTATATATATACAACATCTCTCTATCTATCATAAGATCTGTTTTATATACATCAAATCTTCGTTAATTACTTTCTTCCAATTCCTTCATTCTTTTGGGTTGAGTTCTTGTGGTTGAGAAATCAAAGAGTGCAACTTTGATTTCTAGAGTAGGCATTGTATCCTGGGGATAGATTTTTCTTTAACCATTCGCACCGTGTGGGGGAAATTACTATCCTAAAGATAGTTTCCTGGAAACGCCTTGTCTACTCGTTTCAGATTTATTATTAGATTATCTTACTTGAGTTTACTTCATTGGTTTATTTTCAATATATTTATTTAACAATTTTAGGATAGTAATTATTCCGATACAATTGACTCTTCTTTGACGGGCAAACAATTCCAAGATGTGGAGAGGCTTGAAAAGTTCAATGGGATGAACTACAAGCGTTGGAGTATGAAGATGATGTATCAATTTACGATTGCAAAAGTCTACTATGTCTTTGACTTGTTCATATCCGCAAGATGGAAAAGCAGATGGGCAGCTTTCGGACTCACAACAAAAATGGCTTGAAGATGATTTTGTGTGCCGCTCAATGATCCTGAATGCAATGAGTAATGCCCTCTTCAATGTGTTTCACAAGTGCTACCCTGCATATGAGTTGTGGGCTGCCATCTCGCGAAGGTATGTAACAGAAGATGCTGGAAATAGATCCTTCTTAATTAACAAGTATATTGATTTTAAGATGGATGATTTCAAACCTGTTATTGATCAAGTAAATGAATTAAATGAAATTGCCTCTCAATGTGCTGATGTGGGTGAGCCAATTACTGAGACTTTTCAAGTTTCTACTATTATTGGTAAACTTCCTCCTTCTTGGAAAGATTATCAGATGAAATTAAAGCACAAGACTAAGTCTCTAAATTTAGATCAATTACTTCAGCATATTCAAATTGAGTATGAGGCTAGAAATAGAGATTTGTCTGTTTACAATGGAAAGGATAAAGTGCATAATGTTGAAAATTCCACATCCTCCAAATCTGCTAAAACCAAGATTAACAAGTTTCACAATGGAAACAAGACTTCTGATTATAAAAAAAGATTTGATTCCAAGAATGGTATTAGTAAGAAGAACAGAGGACCTTGCTTTGTATGTGGTAAGATGGGACATTTGGCTAGAGTTTGTAAATTTCGCAAAGGTAAGAAAGGTAACAAAGAAGAAGCCAATGTCATGGAGCAAGAAGAAGAAAATGGTTGCTGTTCGTACTAAAATTCTTATGGTGGATAGCATGAGAATGGTGTTAGATTCTGGAGCAATTGCCATGTCACTCCATTCAAAATTGGTTTCAAAACATATGAAGATGTAAAGGGTTGAGAAAACAGTTTACATGGGCAACTCACCNNNTGGTCAAACTTTCCCGGCTTTTCTTCTGGTAAAAAGTTCCTACNCTACCTAAGTAATGTTCTAATCACATTTCCGTAGGTAATTAGGAAAAGTAAAGTCTTTTGGTTTACTTTAAAAAAAACGTTTCGATTAGGATTCAATTGGGTTTTTAAAGTGTAAGGTATTTTTAGACTTTTACCCCAGGAAAGTTTTAGTATTTTCGAAACGTTAAGAACGTCAATTGGTTTAGGAAACGGGTGAAATTGCGTAAAAAGTCCAAATACGTAGTTATAGGTTTTAATAAGTNNGTTTACAATGGAATGGATAATGTGCATAATGTTGAAAATTCCACATCCTCCAAATCTGCTAAAACCAAGATTAACAAGTTTCACAATGGAAACAAGACTTCTGATTATAAAAAAAGATTTGATTCCAAGAATGGTATTAGTAAGAAGAACAGAGGACCTTGCTTTGTATGTGGTAAGATGGGACATTTGGCTAGAGTTTGTAAATTTCGCAAAGGTAAGAAAGGTAACAAAGAAGAAGCCAATGTCATGGAGCAAGAAGAAGAAATGGTTGCTGTTCTTACTAAAATTCTTATGGTGGATAGCAATGAAGAATGGTGGTTAGATTCTGGAGCAACTTGCCATGTCACTCCATTCAAAATTGGTTTCAAAACATATGAAGATGTAAAGGGTGAGAAAACAGTTTACATGGGCAACTCCACCACTTGTGTTGTTATGGGAATTGGCACTGTGCAACTTCCGCTTTCTTCTGGAAAAGTTCTCACTCTTAAGAATGTTCATCACATTCCTGGAATTAGAAAGAGTCTTGTTTCTATTAAAAAACTTGATGATCATGGTTTTAGAGTAGTATTTGATTCCCAGAAAGTTATTATTTCTAAGAACGGATCATTTGTTGGGAAAGGATATGCTAAAGACAATATGTATGTTTTAAGTATGAATAAAGTTTCAAGTGTTTCTGCTTATATTGTTGATGATGTGAATGTTTTTTGGCATTATAGATTAGGTCATATAGGTAGTAATGCAATGAATCGCATGATTTCATACGATTATATTCCTAAATCTTCACACATTTATACTACCAATAACTGTGAATGTTGTGCACAAGCAAAAATCACTAAGTCACCTTTTAAATCAGTTTTTAAAACGACATTTCTTTTAGAACTTGTGCATACTGATTTATGTGACAATAAAGATCATTTGACTAGAGGGGGTAAAAGATATTTTGTAACTTTTATTGACGATTTTTCAAAATATACATATGTTTATTTGCTTAAAACAAAAGATGAGACTTTTGAAAAATTTAAAATCTTTAAAGAAGAAATAGAAAATAAGACTAATAAGAAAATTAAAAGGATAAGATCCGATAGAGGTGGTGAATTTCTTTCTACCCAGTTTATTTTATTTTGTAAACAACATGGAATAGTAAGAGAATTTTCTGCTCCTAACTCTCCTCCACAAAATGGAGTTGCCGAAAGGAAAAATAGGACACTTTTAGAGATGATTAGTGCAATGCTTCTACATTCTAAGTTGCCTTACAGTTTTTGGGGCGAAGCTCTATATACTGCATGTCATGTAACTAATAAAATTTTGCAAAAAGGACAAGATAAATCACCTTATGAGTTGCTTACAAATAGAAAATCAAATATCAGTTATTTTAAAGTTTGGGGATGTATTGCATATGCATTAGATGCAACACTAAAAAGACCCAAGTTAGGTAGCAAGGCAATTAAATCTATTTTCTTGGGCTATTCCATGCATAGTAAGGCATCTAGATTTTTAAATTTGCATACTAATAGTGTGTTTGAATCTGTTCATGTTATTTATTTTGAGCATTTAACTATTAAAGTTGCTGATATATTAGAACTAGAGAAAGATTTGTCAAATAAAGTAGAAACAAATGTTCAAACAAGAGATGATGTAACTTCTACTTCTTTACCCGTGCCTGTAAGGTACTCTTCTCCTGGCACACATGCAAATACAATTAGTCCTGAATCTACTGAGGTAAGGAGAAGTAAGAGACATAGGATAGAAAAAGATCTAGGTCCTGGAATGTTTTTGCATATTCAATAGAAGAGGATCCTAGAACCTATCAAGAAGCTATGTCACTACATGATGAATCTTTGGAAAAAGGCTATGGATGATGAAATTAAATCTATTCATGATAATAATACATGGACCTTGGCAGAACTTCCTCCTAATACTAAGATTATTGGTTCTAAATGGGTTCTGAAGAAGAAACTTAAAGCTGATGGAAGTATAGATAGATATAAAGCAAGATTAGTAGCAAAAGGTTATAGCCAAAAAGAAGGTTTTGACTACTTTGAAATATTTTCTCCTGTTACTAACATTACTACTATTAGAGTCATGTTTGCTATTGCTTCCATGTATAATTTGGAAGTACATCAGATGGATGTCAAAACAGCATTTCTCAATGGTGAGTTAGATGAAGAAATTTACATTCAACAACCCGAAGGTTATGTCATGAATGGAGAAAAACACAAGGTATGTAAACTTAACAAATCTTTATATGGTCTTAAACAAGCACCTAGACAATGGTATGAAAAATTTAAAAAGGAGATAAGATCTATTGGCTTTAAATGTAGTAAAGCAGAAAATTGTATTTTTTATAAATGCAATGACGATCATAAAGTTCTTATTACTTTATATGTTGACGATTTACTTATATTTGGTTCTAACATAGCATGTGTTAATGAAACCAAAAAATTTCTTATGCAAATCTTTGATATTAAAGATTTAGGTCCTGTAGATGTGATATTAGGTATTAGAGTAATTAGAAAAGAAAATGAATTTGTTCTTACACAGTCACATTATATTGGGAAGTTGCTTAAAAAATTTAATTTTGTAGATTGTAAACCTAGTAAAACTCCTCTTGATCCTCATATTAATTTAATGTCTAACGCTAATGAACCTATTAATCAAGGAGAGTATGCTAAGATAATTGGTAGTTTAATGTATGTGATGAATAGTACTAGACCAGACATTGCATGTGTTGTTGGTATGCTGAGTAGATTTACTAGCAATCCTAGTCATGAGCATTGGAAAGCTATTAGCAAATTAATGAGATATTTGAAGCATACATCAAACTATGGTTTACATTATAAGTGTAATTCTTCTGTTCTGGAATGTTATAGTGAAGCCAACTGGGCTTCCGATAGAAGCAACTCTAAGTCTACTAGTGGCTGGTTACTCACTGTAGGAGGAGCTATAGTGGCTTGGTCCTCTAAGAAACAATCTTGCGTTGCACTATCGTCTATGGAATCTGAATTTATATCTATGTCTCTTGCTAGCAGAGATATTCTATGGATTAGGAGATTCATGAAGTGCATACCTTTTATTAATATTCCTAAAGGACCTATTACTTTATATTGTGATAACCAAGCTGCAATTCACAATGCAAAGAATGAGAGGATGTCTAGCAATAGCAAGCATATTGCCATGAGATACAATCATGCGAGAAGTCTTGTGAAGAAAGGTAAAATTTCTGTTGAATATCTTCCAACTAATCAGATGTTGGCAGATCCTCTCACAAAACCTTTATCAGGTGAGAAAATTGAGAAAGTCATGGGAAACATGGGACTATCACCATTTTAATAAAGGCAGTCTTGAATGACGTCTACTCTTTCATATGAATGTCAGTTTTAATTGGAAATTCATATTCTAAGCGTTCAAGGATAAGTTGTCAAGAATATTAACGCCGAGGTTATATTTCCGGTGACATAAAGTACTACTACAAGGAATAGTGGGGGTAGATTAATACGAAATAATTAGCTAATTCCTTAAAAGTTCNAATACAAATAAATTACTATTCCTTTAAAGTTTCATGTTTGACTATATGCACTGATTTCCACAACGAGAAGGCTGAACTTTGTTCTTAGCAGTTTCATAGATTAAAGAGGAGTGTTAGAGTGGTTGTGGACACTCTTGATGAGACTGCCTATGCAAGTATAAAAGTGAGAGGCCGCTTTTTATGGATTTAATGGTGAATCCTAGAGTACTTGCTAAAACAGGATTGAGCACAAGGCCCATATTAATCGGCGCCGCCATTGCAGAACAAGAACTCATGTATGATACGAATATGGATTTATATTCATATTCATTCTAAAGGTTCAAAGCTAGTTAGCTACCTTTAGTTATGTGTTATACAAATACCCAATATCATCCTTCCTTTGTTTTGTGTCCGCATATTATTATTAAATAATAAGTGGGGGATTGTTATATATAAAATAATATATATGTATTATTTATTAATAATATTTATTTTAAAATAAACAGGAAAAAGAATTCTATCTTAAATTTGAATACAACCGCTGCCTTCTGTGAAACTAACTGATGTGTTTTCTATGAGTAACTAACTCTTTGTTAACTGCTAGTTTAAATTTAAATGGAGCAACCATTGGTAAAGGTCATAAACCTTGTCTATATAAAGGGTATTCTATAGGATTCTAAAAAACTCCCGAGCAATTATATATATACAACATCTCTCTATCTATCATAAGATCTGTTTTATATACATCAAATCTTCGTTAATTATTTTCTTCCAATTCCTTCATTCTTTTGGGTTGAGTTCTTGTGGTTGAGAAATCAAAGAGTGAAACTTTGATTTCTAGAGTAGGCATTGTATCCTGGGGATAGATTTTCCTTTAACCATTCGCACCGTGTGGGGGAAATTACTATCCTAAAGATAGTTTCCTGGAAACGCCTTGTCTACTCGTTTCAGATTTATTATTAGATTATCTTACTTGAGTTTACTTCATTGGTTTATTTTCAATATATTTATTTAACAATTTTAGGATAGTAATTATTCCGATACAATTGACTCTTCTTTGACGGGCAAACAAT